ATCAATTCAAGTGTATTACATGCGCCCCACGCTTTTCATTTTCAATTTCATAGATTGTTTATAATGACTTTTGCTAAAATTTTAAAATCAAAAGTTATCAAAACAAATTCTATGGGACTGAGAAGTATTATTTTCTACTTTTTAGTCCATTTATAAAAGCGTTGTATATTAAAAAGTTTTTTTTATATTATTTATTTTCTACTTTTTAGTCCTGTCTGAATAAAATTTTGCAATAGATATTAAAATAATTCAACGATATTAATAGAAAGGTGCACACACATGCATTTACATATGTATGTACATACAAACGAGCACCAATTAATTTTATTTAAAGAAATGGCGTGTCGTCTATTTCCGCCGATATGCGTGTATAAACCCTCCTCAAAGTCTAGCCAAAATGTCAGCAACTCACACAACAGGTTCCCCAGAGGAATTCGCTCGAGAAAGTGGTACCCGGTACACGTAATACGCGGCACACAGCACAACAATCCTCCAAAACAGGCAACCCGGCCCAAAATTACCACCGTAGAAGGCAGAAACCCCGAGCGGCAGTGCAGGAGCCCAAGAATTACCCTTAAAACGGCCACAGGAGCTTAAAAAGACGAACTGGTCCCCAACTGGTCCGAAGGTAAGTAGTTTCGGTCTAGTCCCAAACTGCTTCCCAACTGGTTCCCAACTGGTTACCGGACTGGTCCCCGACTGCATACCAACTGGTCCCACGAACTAGTTACTAACTGGTCCCAAAGTGATTACCAACTGATCCACCTATACCTCAAGTGGTCCACAAGTCACTTCACTTACAAAGCATTCGATTTAGTTGACAATAGTCAAACTACATAACGTAGACCTAAAATTTCTACAGCGAAAGTAGAACTTTGGAATCGATTTTAAGCGGTCGTTATTCATATACCCACATACATACATACATATATTACTTTTCATATCAATTCAAGTGTATTACATGCGCCCCACGCTTTTCATTTTCAATTGCATAGATTGTTTATAATGACTTTTGCTAAAATTTCAAAACCAAAAGTTATCAAAACAAATTCTATGGGACTGAGAAGTATTATTTTCTACATTTTAGTCCATTTATAAAAGCGTTGTATATTAAAAAGTTTTTTTTTTATATTATTTATTTTCTACTTTTTAGTCCTGTCTGAATAAAAGTTTGCAATAGATATTAAAATAATTCAACGATATTAATAGAAAGGTGCACACACATGCATTTACATATGTATGTACCCTGCAAAAAATTGTGCGACTAATCTCTAAAGAGAGTACTCCGAGATTACTCTCAATCAGGTACAATTGGGCATAAATTAGTCGCAACTAGTCTCATACGGGAACTATTGAGGATCATTTAGTCGCGATTCATCCATCACGGGTATATTTGGAGATCAATTAGTCCTCCTCATCTCTAACGGGTACTATTAACGATTTAATGATATGTACGCACTTTGTTAATGAAATTTCATGTGCGGCGCTGGCACATAGAGAGAGTATTCGGTTAACAAAACTGAGAACCCCGGTTCGAATCTCAGCTGGCGCAAATTTTTTTTTTATTTTTTAAAAGTGACTAGTCGCTTTTTATACCCGTTCGGGTATAAAGGTGAACAATTAGTCTCTTCATAGGACGTGCTCGAACAAAAGCGATCAGTTCATTCCATATAAAGAGATCAAAATTGGTATTAGTCGCATGCTCCTTTGCGATTGCTCCCGGAGTCATCCCGGATTAGTCGCATTTTTTGCAGGGTACATACAAACGAGCACCAATTAATTTTATTTAAAGAATGGCGTGTCGTCTATTTCCGGTGTAGCAAACGTATTACATAGGGCGACATCTAGATGTCTCTACCTCGCCCTATTCACTATGCTTTTTTATAGGAGCTTTTCAAAGCTTTGCTTTATGGTGTCGGGCACACAACATTGAAAGCTTCTGGAACACAACATTGAAAGTTTCTGGAACACAACATTGCAAGTTGATAAAAGCGTTGTAAAAAGCTTTTCACTTAAACCCATGGACAAGGATGTGCTTGACATGCCAACGGTGGCTAAAGTCATCAGTGTTATCAAAGTTACCGGATAAAGTGTAAAGAAGTTTAATCCTGATGACATTGACGGCCTATGCCACTTCACTACATTTACTTTACTAGGTCACAAGTTATAGCAGAAAAATTAGGTGAGGTTATCATTAACTAAAACAGTATGTGCCAATTACCCTCGGCACCAACATTTGGAATATCAGCCATCCCGCCCGCCCCAATGCCCGCTGGTCCCTCTCCGTAACTGCCTCTTCCAAGCAGGGACCTCCGCCCGTCACCAATCGATCGGCCTTTGCCTTCCTAGCCCTGGATCTTACTTGATTTTTCCAATGGGCTAGAGACTGAAATACAAATAATGTTCCAACTCTTATAACAACAATTTGGTAATATGATTTAAGATTTACCTCTTTCCATTTATTCGGAGTGCGTATCGGCCCTTTAAGAGCGTTAAGTTGCTCTGCTAGCTCTATCCACAGCTCCTGTATCCTTCTTGGCCGCGTCGAGTCATTTTTGTTGAGCTGCAACTCAGGGTGGCTCCGCATAAACGCCAGGTAGCACTCTATTTGCTCCTTGCTTGTGCGCGTTGTCTTTTCTGTATCTGTAAAATAAAAATACCTTATTTTCAAAGAAATTGAACAAAATAAGAAAAACTAAATTTATGTACAATTACTTACCTTCATCGGCCATTTTAGTTGAATGCACATAGTGATGAATACGGCATTAATCGATTGCTCACTTTTCTGGCCTTTATATATTCTCCCAGAAAATCGATTCAGATAAATTGCCTATAAAACCAAATGTCTAAATATTTTCTTATAAATTCTTTGTAGTTATCATATTCTTTATATTTCTAATGTACGATTTTGCTTTAAAAATGCGTTTAAAAACCTATTTTTTTATGTAATCGATAAATGAATATTTGTTAAACTATTTTATCATCTCCAATTGGAACATGCTATCAGCTGATTGTCTCTGTTTGTATTCACCACACATTTTTGGTGAATTTTTGTGACTCTCTCTTACTGAATACCAAAATTGTCTCAAGTCACAAAAAAAATAACAAATTGATAGTCTCAAATTTAGTGACTTGCGATGAGACTGAGTTACTGAATACAGCCATAATTCACTCATACATAATTAGCCTGTTCCCGTACTTCACGATTTGCAGGCTTTACAGGAACAGCTGTTTTCGCCTTTAATAAACCTTATGTGAACGTGGCGTACGGGAACGACTTTGGACTAAATCCTGCAAAACCTGCAAATCGTAGCCGTTCTGGAGCGCACTAAATGTGAGCAACTATTTCATAGCTCAGAGAAGTACAGAAAATAAAAACCAAAAATAGTATGAAAGTAATGAGCAAATGGTAAAAGCAGAGTATGCAAAAACGGTAACAGAGTACCAATTCAACAAATGTATTTTATTAATTAACAAGTAAGAAAGTCTAAGTTCGGGCGGCGCCGAACATTAAATACCCGGCGCAAGTATTAAATATATGTTTTTCACCTTTCCGGAAGATACCGATACATAGTAAGCCAGGGTGTATCAATTTTGAGTAAATTAGCGTCCTTAAATTTCCAAATATTGAAGTTTCAAGCATTTCTGAAACTTACCGTTATATGAAAAGCGGCCGTAATTTTAGTCCAATTTCAATACATTTCAACGCTTTTCTTCTATGTGGCAAGCACAATAACCGCACCGGGTTTGGTACAAATTGGTCGAACGGTTGCCGATATACATGTGATCATAAGTGGGCGATGCCACAGCCATTTTCCAAAATTTTATCATATATATTTATATAGCGTATTTCTTGGTAAAGAGTTGTTGCAAGCGTCAATTTTGAATAAATTAGCTTTAATATTTACTAATTTATCGAAGATTTCGTATTTCTCTAAATTACCGTTATATGAGATGTGCGCATGGTTATTGTCCGATTTTTTTGGCGATTTCGTATGTTATACCAA